GCGGCGTGGCCATCCCCCCTGGGGGGTGATTTCTCGCTGTCTGTCTCTCTGTCTAGCGCATGCCCCCTATAGCAAAAAACTCTCAAAAAAAAACGAAAAAAAATTAAAAACCAAATATGTAATACTCTGTCGTTTTTAGCCCATGTTTTACTACAGTACTTATATTTTCATCCTATATGTATGTGTATATATATATTTATTTATTATTATTATCTTTTTAACCACCAGAAGATATGTGTACTCACCAGAGAGAAAGCACCCTCGCTGGGTCATGCCCATGGCCCATCTCCATTTTCCCCATCCCGGCAGGATATTGGGCACACACGTACTTGTGCCCAGCATGTTTTTCAAGCCATAGTCTGAGATTTGAATCACAGTCGGCCGTGCGGGATCTGGCTCCCAATACACGGTGGTGTGTGTGTGTGCCATGCTAGGAGCGCAGTGGAGCTGGGTCAGCAGGACTGAGGCCGTGGACCCCCCCGGGGGCCAACAGCATGGGCCCTTGTGCACAGACTGGGAAGACCGAGTGCTGGGTCAGCGAGGCCTGGTCATGTCACAGTGGACAGAGCAAGTCATCCATGTCTCTCAGGTTTCCAGGCTGGGGGCCTGGGTCCCCCGTGGGTTGGAAAAGAGGCCAGTGTGTGGAGAACGGTTGGCCGGGTTGCTGTTTTGGATGAGCTGAGTTTGAGACGCCTGTGGACTGTTCCAGGGGAGATGGAGTTTGGTGAAAGGCTGGCAGGGCTGGAGTTGTGGGCATTGTCTCCCTTGTGTGGGGTGGTGGCCCTGAGAGGGCTGTGGTGGCCCTGAGAGGGCTGTGGTGGCCCTGAGAGGGCTGTGGTAGCCCTGAGAAGGCTGTGGTGGCCCCGAGAGGGCTGTGGTGGAGGAGATAAGGGGAACAGTGACCTCTGCGGAGCTGCGGAAAGGAGCTGCAGGAGAGAAGTGGCCGACTGTCTAATGCACCAGAGAGGCCAAGTGAGATAAGGCCAGAGAGGGAGAGTGGTCCTGGGGTGCTGCAGGCACTTGGTGACCCCTCAGAGAGGCTTTCGTGGAGGAGATGTAGCTGGGTGGCAGGATGGGGGTGGGGGACGCTGGAGGAGGGACTGATGCAGAGGGAGGAGAGGGTGCAGCCTTGGGCTGGATGGAGGGGGGGGGGCTGGCTGGGACAGAGGGGGGGGGG